AATTTCAAATGTAAATAATTTAAATATAAAATGACATGTTTAAATAAAATAAAGTTACTATTGGATACCAACGTGTGTTGGTCCTGACACCAATTTAATGTCGGAAAAAATCTTTTGTGTAGCAGATATATATATTAAAAAATTTCCTTAATGTCGAGATTCGTGCTTATTTCCATCTCGCTCCCCCATGTGTCCTAGCATATTAATCTATCAGCTGCTCAGAGGGGAGATACATACTTTGGTAAACCCAAAAAAAGGGTCAACAGTCAGTGTGCCCATTAAGTGTCATGTCATTAACTTTTATTAGTAATTTGACGAGGAACTTGAACTTTTTTCAATTAGAAAAAATGAGAGAATTGACCACAACTAAAAAAATAAATTGTGCAATTAATAGCACGTGTTCCTTTCTTCAAGTCAGCGTGAAATTGTGCAATTAATCAAATTACTTATTTTCTCCCTGTTTTCCCATATCTCATTTTCATTAAATGACTACCGTGATTGTTTATTATATTATATACTTATCTGTTTTTCTTATCCTTCAATTTGTTCAGAGCAAATGGAAATTGCAAAATCGAAATCTCCAGGTGAGTTATTGAATTGGCGTGACGTTGAGAAGATGAAATACTCGTGGAATGTTGCTTGTGAAGCAATGAGACTTGCCCCTCCTCTCCCAGGAGCTTTCAGGGAAACTATCAATGATTTTATCTTCAATGGATTCTCAATTCCAAAAGGCTGGAAGGTAAATTACATTGTTTTTACCTGCCGTAAAATTTATACGCACACATATATATTCATAATGATCTTCTTATTTTCCAATTTTTTTACTACATATTTATGGTTTTTTTTTTGGAAAACATATTTATTGTTTTAATTGATGGGTTATGGTTAGAATTTGTCAAAGTATTTATCCATGAAAGTATAGTCTTAAAAAACTTTACTACATCCTTAATTAGTCTTGTTCATAACATGATAAACAGGTACATGTGTTTTGTTTATCACAGAAGAATTTTGCTTAGTATTTTAATCTTCCCATAAGAAGTAAATCTAATATAGATGAAAATGTTAAGGCAAGTAGTTTGAGTTTATTTAACTATTTTGTTGTTCAAACAGTTATATTGGAGTGCAACCTCGACACATATGAATCCAGAGTACTTTCCGCAGCCAGAGAAATTCGACCCGAGTCGATTCGAAGGAAAAGGATTAGCTCCTTACACTTACGTGCCATTCGGTGGAGGACCGAGGATGTGCCCCGGAAAAGAGTATGCACGATTGGAAATACTGGTTTTCATGCACAACTTAGTAAAGAGGTTTAAGTGGGATAAGATTATTCCTGACGAGAAGACTATCGTTAATCCTATGCCTATTCCTGCCCAGGGCCTCCCTATTCGTCTTTATCCTCACCAACCTTGAAAACAATTATATTTGACTGAAGTAGAGTAAATTTAAGCTCGAATATTGTCTCTTTATTTTAATTTTCTTTTCTTTTTTAATGTAACCCTTTGTCTCTTTTTTGTTGTTTTTTTTTAAAAAAATATAATAAATTATTCATGTGTCTTTACCAAAGGATTTAGTCTTTTGGGAGAATCGGTTTCGTGATATAATATTAGAGAAATGATCTCAAGTTTGATGCTTAGTGCCCCATTTATCTAATACAAAATTAAATTTAAGCACATGATAATAAAAAGGGTTAAAGATTTCTCATGTCATATGCGAAGAATTTTTTCTTTTATACACATAACAAATATATGGGTTCCATTGAAAAGAGGAAAGAAAAAAAAAATTCAGTAGGATCCATATTTTTATTGTGTGGGTAGAAGAAATTTTTCTATGTAACATGATAAGTCTTTGATCCTAAAAAAAAGATACCTAACCTTTGCCTTGTTTATGGACATAAAAATAATCACCTGTCAGGTGTTCTCATTCGTATCTTTAAACACCGAACTTATTGTGTGTAAGTTATTACACATTTACATAATTGTTTGTAATCATGTTCTCATTAATTTGTTTTGTTCTAGGGTCTCCAGTGCTATCAAGTGCTATTCTAATTCCATTGCAATATTTCTAACATGGAAACTATCTCGCTTTGCAGCGTAGAGAATACAATTGTTCACAGCAAACTGTCAAATACTCAGAAACCATCTTTTTCATTTCATTTTCTCTTTTTCTTCTCTATTGTTATTTCACTTTCTGTAAGAGTGGTTGTTTTGCTGATATAATGTACTGTTATTGGTTGAGTTATTGTTAATTCAGCTTCAAACAATATGATTTCTATTTTCTTTTCTCCAATCTCTTTATTCATTGTGTTTGGGTCGTAACTCGTAACAATACATTTATAAGGGAGTGTAATAATAGGGTGGGAGAAGAAGCATATTTGGCAACATCTAAAGAAGCAGTTAATCCAAATAACATATTAGTTTATTATCAATATTTTTCTCGCAGGCCTTTTTAGGTCCAATAAGTTGGGCTCAATATTACAGCTTATATGTAAAACTTTTTAGAGGATACCTCATACCTTGCACTGCTGCTCATTATATACTGACCGTAGGACAACATGTCTTGTCTCAAGATCAAGACAAACTACAGGTAGAATAGCTCTAAGGTCCTCTCCCCTTACTTCTTCTCCCATGGAAGGAAGAGATAGGATCTCATCTTTTTATCTTATGAGCTGTATTACCACAGCCATTTTTACACGTATCCCCCTTTTTGTATACAACATTGGGAAGCTCTCACAGGGCCATGATTCAAAAGCACGCTTCTATCAACATATTATATCCCTTGAGGAAAACATTTATGGCTCCACACAAACGTCTAACAGCTTAAATATATAAGGGCTGCGTTTAATATCTCTCGTATTATAAATTATATTTGAAAATTATAAATATATGCATATTATAAATTATTATTTTGATATTTTGATTTTAATATGTATTATGGTTATTGAGTATGAATTTAATTTTTATTTCCTTTAGGCGGCGTTTGGTTGAGGAAAAAAATTTTGAATACTAGAAAAATGTAATTGATAGGAAAATGGTTGGAAAGTGAGTTTGGTAGGAAAATGTAAAAAAAGTTGTTTGGTTAGAAAAAATTTTACCGGGCAAATTAAGTAAGATTTATAAAGTCAATGTTTGGTTTGAGGTAAAATATATAGATAAAGAAATAACTTCAAATTACAAATATAACCCCATAAAAAAAGTGAAACCTTGGCACTTTAGATGAGGGTATTTAAGTCTACAAGTGGGTTGCTCTTTTGCCATTTAGCTAGCTAAATGTAAAATATCACCTTCAAGTTGTCTTTCTAAATAATAACTTTGCCCTTCAAAGAACGGACACGCGGGTAGAAGAAAAATTTGCGTATCGGACACGTGTCCGACACGGACATGCTCGAACACGCGTCCGACACGCGGTCAACATTTGGGGACACGCGGTCAACTCTCCGACACGTTCCGACACGTTTTTCCGACACGCGGTCAACTTTTTTCGACACGCGGTCAACGCTCAGACACACTGGGACACGTTTTTTTATTTTATTTTGTTAAGTAATTATAAAAGAAATAATTTATAAATTAATTTTTTTCTGTTATGAAATTTGACATAAAAAATTAACAAAGTACGAAAAATTATTTATATTTATATTTATGTTATGAAATTTAAATATTTGATTGGTTATATGACTTATTATGAACTTTTATATGTATTAAATATAAATTATATTATATATATTAAAAATTTTATTTAAAATCAAAATGTGTCCCAACATGTCGAAATATGACATTTTTTAGAATTAATGTGTCGGTGTGTCGTGCCGTGTGTCCCGTGTCCGTATCCGTGCATCATAGAGTCTTTGCCTTGCTTTCTATGAACAAATAAGAAATGCTATGCAAATACAACACCTATGGAAATTTTGTAAAACCTTCTACCAAACATTGCTTTCTTACTTTGCCAACTCCCCGACACGTTTTGACACGTTTTTCCGACACGCGGTCAACTTTTTTCGACACGCTGTCAACGCTCAGACACACTGGGACACGTTTTTTTATTTTTTATTTTTTTTAAAAAAAATCTTTATTTTATTTTGTTAAGTAATTATAAAAGGAATAATTTATAAATTAATTTTTTTCTAGTTATGAAATTTGACATAAAAAATTAACAATGTACGAAAAATTATTTATATTTATATTTATATTATGAAATTTAAATATTTGATTGGTTATATGACTTATTATGAACTTTTATATGTATTAAATATAAATTATATTATATATATTAAAATTTTTATTTAATATCAAAACGTGTCCCAACATGTCGAAATATGACATTTTTTAGAATTAACGTGTCGGCGTGTCGTGTCCCGTGTCTGTGCATCATAGAGTCTTTGTCTTGCTTTCTATGAACAAATAAGAAATGCTATGCAAATACAACACCTATGAAAATTTTGTAAAACCTTCTACCAAAAATTGCTTTCTTACTTTGCCGATTTGATTTGCATAGGTAAATTTTAAGAAATCTTCAACCAAACACCACCTTAGTATTTGAACTTAAATTTGTAATGACTTATGTATTGGTGTGTTTAAATTTATATATGTTGGATATATTTTTTTTTTGTAGTAGTAAACTCTTACATTTCACGATTTTATGTTTCTGCTAGCTCCTACCGTTTCTACGTAGAAACTATGTTTTAACAACATTGCCTATAACATAAAAAATATCAAACTCATAAAGATTTTTCTTATTATTTTTAGTGCTAGTGGACTCAGTGGCAGAGCCACATACATCTTGGGGTTGCCTGAGCCCGGGCTAAATTTTAAATTTTTTTACTTATTATATATAGTTATATATTTAATTATAATTTATCCCGAGCTAAAAATTAAAATATATTTGGAGAGGGATTTGGATAGGGTGTATTAAGTTATGTGTTCAATTTTTACTTATATACAAATAAAAATTAAAAAATATTTAATAAAATTAAAAAGTAGTTGATAAAATTATAACTTTCTTCTTCCCTCTAACTTTCTTCTTCCCTCTTGCCATATTCAGTTCTCGTTTTCTAACCAAAAAAAAAAAGGATTTTGGAGACAGAAAATCGGTGAGTTCGCTCTTCTTTCTTTCCTATACCTCGTTCCCTTTCAGATCTGCGATTTCCTTCTCCCAATTCATGCATATATTTGTGGGTTAATTAATTGTTCCTTTCATTCAATTTTAGGTTGAACCATGGAGCCCATGGACATTGTCGGCAAATCAAAGGAAGATGCTTCGCTTCCTAAAGGTTTTATTATTATTATTATTATTTATTTTTTCTCTGTTCGTGAATTTGATTGCATAACTATTGAGTAGGATATAAGATATTCATGTCGAGTTTTCTGGAATCAATTTGTTGCCCGCATATGTGAATTTTGTTTCTCTCTGGAAATTTCTTTAGTAAAAATGACGAGGAGAATGAAAAATAAATAAAATAAATGTTGTTTTGAATAGGTTTAATTGATAAAATATTGCTAAATAATAGTTAATGGTGGTATTTGATTCTTTTAATTTCGATGGCACTTGAAACTCTGCTTTCTTTTTGTTGTTAATGCATCATTATTTTCATCGCTTACTAAAGCCCTGATTCTTTGGCAGCAACATTATTTTCATCATTATAATGTGTTGCCCAAATTATGTTAAATGCATTCTTTGATGATGTTTTCCCCCCCTACAGATTCTGCTTTCCCCTGTCCTTGTATAAACTGTCTATTTAGCTTACTTGTACCTTTTAATATCAACTTGTTTTTCTAGTCAGTTAATTATTGTTCAATTTCAATGATTCAGGTATGTGAAAAGAAAACATTGTATTGATGTTACTGAAGTGTTTAGGGTACTTAATGCTGAGAAGAAAATTCGGATAGGCAAACTTGTTTTTTACATAACAGTGCTCCTTACTATTGTCTTCAAGTTTGTCATGTCCTCAAAATAGCATATGCTTATCTAGTGTCTTCAATAAGCATATTATTTTACAATTCTAAGTTTTAGGTATTAGAATTTATAGTAAATTTTTTTTCTAATAAATTTATGTAATTATAATAAATATTTTAATATATAAAATTTTTGACCCGAGATTAAATTAGAGCTGGCTTGGATGGACTAGTGCTCACTAAAATGGTGCTGCATTTCATTTCTTTATTTTTCATTTTTATATATTACCCAATTTAGTGTTGTCACTCCTTTATAAACAATAATTTATGTGATAATCAGCCACCACGGTGAATCGTACAAGCACTTTCTGTATAAATGCACTCAATTTGTTCTCTCTCACGGTCGGTCCCATGATCACGCAGTACCCTTTTATTATGAGTCTTTTATTTTTCACTAGCAAACAAAAATGATTCAGCCTATTTCAACAGTGACATTTTACAAGCTCAATTATTAGCTTAAAAACAATTTATACAGTTGGCACTAATCCTCGGAAGAATTTTTTAATCGGTGCGCATGCAGAAGCATGGACGTAAAATAAAGTCTTCTTCATAGTTGATATTTATCAAAACAATAATTCAACTTGATAATAGCTATTTAGCATTTGCAAAATAAGGCTGCTGAAAACAAATGTTCTAGAAGTAGTAAGTACAGGATTTCAAGGTGGCCAAATACATGTTCTGTTCATATGGAAATAGAATGAAAAAATGAAAAATACAAAATGGAACGTGTCTCATAAAAAATGAGCAATAAATTGTCGAAATTTCCATTTGCATCTGTATGTATCTCGTTAAAATAATGTATTTGATTGTATTTATTCTATCCATTTCTTTGCCTAGTTTAAGTTCAATTTGCTTTTACTTTGGTGAAGAACTGTTAGGATTAGATTTATTTCTCTTTAGGAATAGGATATAATATGTCAATGTAACAGCTGCATTTTTTTTTTTTTTTTTTTTTTGGTATCCTTGTAACAGCTGCATATAGTCACCGTGTTTTCACATCTTGCTTCCTGATTTTCACTATTTGTTTTTAGCCGTTGTAAATCTCACATCTCACTGTGAGATGCTTGTGCACAGAGATGGAGAAATGGTGCAAAGAGAAAATATTGGGTGGAGAAAGACCTCGGTTCGATTCTTACCAATATCATCTCGGGAAAGGATATAAAATCTTAATCCTAGACCCATCCAGCATTCAGGATTAATTTCATAACCAGCTCAAATAACCAAAACTAATAAGGGATATTCTATGAAGCCTTCTCGCCTCAAAGAAGTAATTGAAGTTGATATTCAAATATATATATATATATATATATATATATATATATATATATTGTGGTAGGATCCTTTGACACCTCATCTGAGAGTCGTTAGATCAAAAAATATCAACGACTCTGATTTGTTATCTAATTTTCACCATTGATATTTTTTGATATAGTGGCTCTCAGATGAGGTGTCAAATTAAGGATCCTGCCTCATATATATATATATGGGAAAAATATTTCTCCAGCAACTTGGGATAAGTTTATCTTCAAACACTCCAAAACTACGTCGTTTTGTTTATTTATTTCCTTATATTAATTGATTCACCTTTAAATGGTTATGATTCCTTTTTTCTCTGTCTTCCTTTATCACCATTGATCCATCTTTGTACAGATATGATTTAGTAGCCGGAGATAAAATTATCTCAAACACCTTGAGAAATGATAAGCCATACATATATATACGGGTAAATATTTCTACAGCCACTTTAGATAAGGTTATATACAATTATCCCAAAAACTATGTCGTTTTGTTTAATGAAGGGTGCTTTTGTAATTTTAAGTGAATTAATGAAGGGTATTTTTGTAATTTTATTTATTTTTTATCATATACATTTTACGGAAACACCCTTTATTATTGTTATTTAGTGATTATATATAGGGAACAGTGATCATTTTGTCACGCCTGGCCAAAAAAATTACCAAACTGCTACGCCAACAGTAAATTTTTTCAGAATGCCACGTGGGATAATTCGATACACTATGTAGCGAAATATGCTTGCAAATAATTCGCTACACAGTGTAGCGAATTATGCCACGTCAGAATGCACGGTCAGTAAGAATGACATTGTTCAAGCAGGACGTAATTCGCTACAGTGTGTAGCAAATTATGTTCACGAATTATTTTTTGACACGTGACACACTTTCGCAGAAAAAAGTTGATGTGTCATAATTCGCTACCACTGGTAGCAATTTTGGTCTGCAATATGATCACGTGTCACGAAATTATTGGCCACAAAATTCGCTACCAATGGTAACGAATTATGACATGTGGCAGTCTGGTAAAAAATATTATTCACGTGGTATTTGGATAAAAAATTTGATAAAATGTAACAGTTTAGTCACTATTTCTATATAAAGTTGTTTTAATAGTTTTGAAAAAGAGAAGATAAAATAATTTATTATTAAAATAAATTATTGGTGGCCATTGCTGGCATTGTGTCCTTGCGAGACATTGACTTTTGTACTATACTTTCTAATAAAAATCACTAAATGCCATAGATCCAAGTGCCACATCACTGAAATTACTATGTAGTGCAGCGACTATAGTCTAGTTATGTGGCGCATTTGTAATAGGCACAAAAGTTATTAAACGATGTAGCGACTTTTGTGGTCAAAATGTCAAAAAAAATTAGCAACTTTTTTGGCCAAAATTGCTACGGAGTGTGACTCTTTGGCCAAAGTCATTACACAATGAGTTTTATAAGAGTTATGTGGTAAAAAAAGTGATTGTGTAATGTTATAGAGATTCGTTTTACGTGTCATAATTTTTTTTTTTTTTTTCTTCAAAAAATATGGACCCCACAAAATGTTGTGTGTATAAGAAAATTTGTTGTGTCATATTAAATAACAAATACAAACTCTTTACACAATATAGCTATTTTGGCCATCATTAAATTTGTCACCCAAACGGCTACCTTTCCCGGCGACTAGGCTTTGTGCAGGGAAGAAACCCACGATTTGATGGAGGCTTCCACAGACCACAGCTTCTCGTAATCCGAATCCCCTCTTGAATCATTCAACTGTCAATTCTAAAGGAGTGAAATCATGCAAGGTGCATAATTTCTTCATATAATTTAAAAACATGAAAGGAACAACATAGAATAAATTGCCCACCTAGTTGACGAGGATAATTGAGGGGCAAAAAAAAAAAAAACATTTTTGCAATCAGGATGATGTTCTAACAATAATAACTTAATAAGCTCTTTGGTTGGTTAAATAAAAAAACTTTTAATAACTATGATATCAACCGTTGATATAAAAACAAAATTTGCAATAGGTATTTTTTTGTATTTTTTTTAAAGTTGAAATCAAAAAACAACATAAAAATAATTCAAATATGTTCTCTGAATTGATTTTAAAAACTAAAAAAATAGTTATACTTTTTAGAATTATTTTTACAAAACATGTATTATCAATCATTTATTATTATTATTTTTTAAAATAAAAAATTGTTTTTTAATACAGAATTCAAACAGACCTGTATTCTTTATAATTAAAATATATTTCTCATATTGTATGAGATAATTTTATCTCATAAAACACACAAAAAGTGAATGGAATTCATTTTTATATTTCTCTATCATCGATTGGAAGTTTTGTTTTTATATCATTGGTTGATATCATAGTGATTAAAAGTTTTGTTTTTTTGTTTTGTTTCTTCTGTATTTCAAATTTTGACAGCCTCATGATCAGCAAAGCTGGACGCGGGTTTCTTCCCTGCACAAAGCCTGCTCCTAATTACTCAAGTAAGAAGTCAAAATTAATTTGGTGGTTGTCGTCGCTAGGAAATGTAGCTAATTTGGAAGATCAAAGTTGCTACAACATGCAGTGATTGTTGTAGCGACTTTTGTATCCACTACAAACGCGCCATATGGCTAGATTATAGTTGTTATATACATAGTGACTTCACTGACGTGGCTCTTTGGGAAAAAAAATTGGATATGTGATATTCAGGTGATTTTATTACAAAGTGTGGCACAAAAATCAATGTCTCGCAAAGTGTGTCTAGGACACACTGTCAACAATGATTGGACCACTACTTGTTATGTGGCAGAATAAGTCCCTGTATTATGCGACATGTGGCATAATCTGACAGGACCTGTTAGGTGACATAGCGGGTCCTTGTCTATAAATACACCCTCCGAAATTTGACATTCCTTATTTCATTTGTTGTGGTCTTTCTTTGCAGTATATTTTCTCACTTATGTATCCACCTCTTTACTAATATATTCTAAAAATGAGTTCTAGTAGTGATTCATTAGTGGACATTGTATACTATAATGAGAGGAAATATTAAAATGATGCGTATGAGTCCCCATTGTAGCTTTAATGGTCTGAAGAAGACAATCCACAAGAAGTTAGGTGTACAAGATAGTCAATTTATGTGTCGCTTGATGGCTAGACATGACGCCAATGACGGGAAATGGATCGGTGTGGAGATTACTGATGATAGTGATGTAACGTTCGAAGTTGAAACATTTGTAAATCAATATAATATGAGACTCATTGAACTCTGTACATGGTAGACTCCAGTGAACACTGATCCGCCACTCCTTTCAATTCAATCCATTGACATTAATAGGGGCTGCATTTTGATCATGAAGAGAGGTATGTCTTCCCCATCATCTCCACCTCCACCAATATTAAGTTAAATGACTCTGTTGGAAGACAAATATGATCCTTATAGGTTAAGTTATGTTCGAGCACAAACAAACAAGATCGAGTTTTTGTTTAGCATCTCAATGTGGCCACTAAGAACTTCACCGCTAGGAGGTTGAGTGCGAGCAACATGATGAGTTTCCACCATTGTTGCCGATTTGGAGTTCTAAAGTAGATATGATTAAGTTTCAAGTAGAGGAAAATGAATCAGAACTTATCATTCCCATAGGTAGCAGTGACACCACTGAACTTGTCAGAAGGGTGACGAAGTATCCATTTAATGGTGAATTATATCAATATAATAGTGACTAGAGAGATAGCAGCATGAACTACAAATCTTGGTGGTCACCATTGAACTCAAACAAGTTGAGAATCAAAAGGGAGGTGATTGGGTTTGGTTATGACTAATGAATGGAGATTTCTATGGAGTTTCAGCAATGTGAGTTATGAAGAAAAAGATGAGTCTTCTAAATAGGTGTAGGGATATTTATATCATGGAGGAAGATTCCTTTAGTATGGGAAGTGTGATGTCATAATCGTTATTAGCCATGTGGGCCCTACTAAGATGTAAGGTTGTGTGACCTCTCATTTATAAAGGTCGTATATGTGTGAGAGTGAGGGGTAATCAGGTTTGAATAGGACTATTTATCTTTAAGTGTGTTGCGATCAGGCCTTGCTAGATGGTCCATGTGGATACCCAGATAAGACCACTGAGAACATGTTTTAATACCAACAAATGCAAATATATTGAAAATAAAAATAAAAATTATCCTTTTATATTTTGCTTGTTTTTATTAAATTAATTATTTGACATAAAGTTTATTGTCTTGTAATTTTAACATATTTAGAGCCTAAAATCTATCTCTCACAAGAAAATGTTTTTGGTACAACTGTTGTATCAAATTCGGTACAATATTTTCCTAAATATGAACATTTTGGTACCACTTGAATCTAAATCTTGTTTTCCATATTTTCCGTCAAATTTAAAATTTTTCCTTTTTGAGAAAAGATGTTTGGTACAAAAATAATAGCAAAGAAGCTCATGTCTCTCAAATGTACAAAAGGTTGGTATTATTAAATATTGATATGGATTAGATCCATCAGGCTTTTAACAAACAAATAAATTAAGACACTTCACATATCACAACCCTATTATTTAGGGGTGTCTGCGGTCTGGATTGGATCGGTTTTAAAAGCAAAATTCATCCGATCCAATCTCTTCGGTTTGATCATGTAATCATTCATTCAGTTTGTATTTTTTTTCAAATCCGATCCGATCCAATCCAATTTTTTTCGGTTTGGATTGGATCGGTTTTTGATTTTTTGAATATCCTAAAATTAGTTTCATGATTATTGTGCAAATAACATCTTTTGTATATATTGATTTTGTAAAAAAAAATTTAAATACAAAAATATCAGTAAACAATACTATAGTTTTTTTTTTTTTTTTGACAATGAGATATGAAGGTCTACACATATGAAATTTTGTTGATGAGACGTGACTAAGTTTTTTCTTGGGTTTAGTTGATGAGTTAATGAGTCTTTGGTTTAGAAATTTTTGGGCCATGATTGGGAAAAAGACCAAGTAGGTAGAAAGGAATTAATATATTGGATCGTTTTGGATTGGATCGGTTTTTATCAACCCATCCAAAAACCGATCCAATCCAATTAAAATTTGCGGTTTTTTTTTGTTTTTGATTTTTCGGTTTTCGGTTTATTCGGTTATCGGTTTTTCGGTTCAATTTCCGCAGTTTGAATCGATTTGGATCTGTTGATGAACACTCCTACTATTATTTATATTTTATTTAGTAAAGTAAATCGTACAAGAAGCACGTATTATTAAATATTGAATACGGATTAGTACGATAATAGGTTTTAACAAATAAATAAATTAAGACATCATATTCAAATAAGTTTCATTGCTGGCCATGATTTTGCAAGTTCTGCTGAATTTCCATTGTAAGTTCCATTGCTGGCCATGACATTGCAAATTCTGCATGAACTTTCATTGTCATACGCAAGACACGGCAAATTAATTAATTAAACAAAGAACATATGTTTAATTTTTTAAAAATTTGAGTCAACTACATTAGGTTTAAGTCATCTCAAAGTTATTAAGCATAGTTACTGTAACATCTGTCGATTATTATAGTGGGGAAAATAGGGGTAGGTTATTTTATAAAGAAGAAATAGAATTTAAGTGTTACTGAAATTTATTTTATTCTCGAATGTTAAAATACAAATCGCTAAATCAACATAGGGTAATAAGTCACCTTACGAAATATAAATTAATGCGGTTGGCCCACTTCACATTGACTCTATTATTGATTCAGGAAGTTCAGAGTCAATTAGAATTGTGGCCTAATTATTAAAAGAATCAGTAATTTGAAATATAATAAATTACAATCAAATTCAAGTCCAAATGAGGCAGCAGATATAATTGTGATTTGTTTGACAAGAAAATGAAAGTAACACATTTGACATGATTTCAGATCTAAGATTTGGGACGTATTTTGAATGATTTAATTGTAATTGTTTATTTATTTTTAGAGGTTAATTATTGTTATATTTATTTTAGGAAGTTTTATTATTTTCAGGATTTTGAATTTTAGATTAATTTTAATTAGTCTATAAAAGGGTGCTTATGAACTTTATTCTAAGAGTTGAATATTTTGTTATTTTGATAATTATAATTGAGAACCCGAGAAATTTTTGTTTAGCCACTTTTCTATGCGCTTTCGGCATCACAAATACTGCAAGGGTAAAAGATTTCTCAAGTATATGAAAATAAATTATCTTCAATGAGCCCAAAACGACATTATTTTGTGGTGAAAATCAAGATATTTTTGTAATTTTAATTTATTACATGGTTATATTAATTTTTATTATTACAATTTTTTAATCTTTCAATCCAAAACGATGTTATTTTGACCTTACTTGATATAACTTTATCTCTAGTCACTGGAGAAATATTTTTTAATACTACAATCAATATATAATTATGGTGTGGTATAAAACTTCACAAGTGAAAAAAATATATAAATTCTTGTGGATAATACTTTTATCTCGACACTCAGATAAAATCTACTTTAACCTCCATTCTCCACATCTGAAAACACACACTTAATAAGATATTAATCACAATAAATATAAAAAATAGTTTATTAGTTTTAATTGATTAACGTTAACATTAGAATATTTCGAACCATTCTAACATCATAATTATATGTACCATTATTTGCCAAGCATGAATTATTTTATATATTTATCTGAGTTTTGTACTTCCAGCCTTATCTTATTTAAAGAATCTATTTCTTAACTATGCACATATTTAAATTGCATTCTAAAAAAAAAAAAAAAATTATAATTTATAGCATACTATTAATTAAGTTTGACAACACAATAAAAACAAAAGCAATCACATCACTGTAGTAAATCTTAAAAAATTAGAAGTTGTAAATTATATGAAGATCAAGATCACACAATTGTTCTGAATAATAACGACACAAAAAATCTAAAATCAAAATCAACAAAAATATGAAGAATAAAAATTTTGTTAATCCATGAGGGCTTTATTATATATTTATATTTATATATATATAACATGTTGTAATCATCTATTAAAATTAAATCAACGACTTTAATTGATATTATTTCAAAATCAAACGATATAAACAATAATTATAAAAAATGGTAAGGAAGAAGAGACATATATATTTGTATATTAAAGTTAAGATTATTATTATTATTATTATTAATGTCCTTTTATCCTTATCCAAATTCCAAACCCTCTATTTAGTTCTTTCCCTTTCCTTTCTTCCTTCTCTTTTCATTTCTCGCCTCTCTTTTTTGTGGTTTTTTTTTTTTTTTTTTCTTCCATTGACTGCTAAGTATGTACCTCCCTGATCCGATTTTGATCTTGATCTTGATCTTAATCTAGGGTTTTGCCTATTCCATGACAAAACCAATCAATAAGCTATTATCACATCCTCCTTCCGTCCCCAGATCTCCATCATCCTTAGCTCTGCTCTCAATCTTCTTCGATCACAATCAACGGTTTCATCTCTCTCTCTCTCTCTCTCGCTTTATGTACTAATAAATTTTTTATTCTTCACATTCTTTGTTCATTTCGATTTGGGATTTTTTGTGTTCTTATTATTCAGAACAATTGTGTGATCTTGATGTTCGTTCCGCCCTCCCCCCTTGTTATCGTTTGATGGGTCCTGGTTGGTTATGGAAATGGAATGTAAATTGCTATATTCTGTTTAAAATCGTGTAAAATTGAAACAAATAGAAAAGTTTTTTTTTTTTTTTAAATTATTTTTTAGATTGAATGATTTTCTTAGGCATGGTTATTGTTGTATATTAATTCGTTTGGGTGAAGTCTTTTATCTAGTTTTCTTTGTATTTCATTTAGGATATCTGCTTTACATTTTGCTGTGCTCCGTTGTGTATTTGGAAAGTGTGAAGGTGAAAAATTATCAATGAAAATCAATGTTGGTACAACGGAAAAAAAAAATGTGGAAAATATAGAGTAGACCTTTAAATATTGCCTTGTTATCATATTAGTTGTTTAAAAGAATTTTGTCGCCAAATTAGTCTCTCAAAGATACAAAATAGTTACCAAACTCATCCTTTCATGTTATTACTTTTGTCTTCCAAAAGGATGAATGTGATGACGTTTTAGATCTTTGAGGGACTAATTTGAAAATTCCTTTGAGGTTTAATGCGGTGACACTATTCTTTGGAGGGCCAGTTTAGTGGTTTACTCTAAAATTAGTCAAATACACTTCATTTGTGTTTTTAGTTGCATATTATTTTTCAACCTGTCCTCTGTTTTCCACCTTCCCACTTTTCACGCATGCGACTGAGCAAACCCTGTATCAAGGATTAAATAATGAAGATGCAGAGTCTTTCCAGGTTTAAATAATGGTCAAGCATGTTAAAATTAGAATTTTGTATGATGGATACTGCAAGAGGTTAAATAGTGTAGCGGTTGATTTTCCTTTCATAGGCTCAAGTTCTAAATTCTGTGTCTATTTCCTTGTTGACTTTATTCTTGCATTATAATAAGTTTGTGAAGGGTGAGTTTGCCAAAAACATAATCTTTATGCGTACAACATCTAGTTTGTTGTGGTAATGGGAAAGCATGTTGTTTGAGTCAAATGAATTTATCAAATGAAACAATTTCTCTTGTTGTAGGAGTGCTATTTGAAACACTACATACTATCTGTACATGATTGTGTGATGCAATGTCAGTGTACTGCTAATCATGAAATCATTACGAGTTTTGTTTGATGTAGGAGTTATGTTTACGGAGTGAAGTGTTTATGTCTCGAGTATTGACTCTTGACAGCTTTTGATAATTTATTGCAGCGTATGATCATTAAAGTTATTCCATTTTGAATTGCATCTTAAAGCTGTCAATGGCATCTGAAGAAATTTTGAAGGCTGTTTTCCCTTTACTGGAGGGTGTTGATCTTGCTTCTTGTATGGCTGTCTGTAAGCAGTGGAGAGACATAGCTACAGATGATTTCTTTTGGAAATGTATTTGTGCCAAGAGATGGCCTTCAATGTGCAGGCAACCTAATCCTCCGACTTTAACTTACTACAAGTTATACAAAACCTTTTATAAACGCCAGCATCGTAGAACTCTTCTCCCTCCGAGAATTTCTTTTGATGATTTGGAGTTCTTCATCGACATTTGGGCTGAAAATATATTACTTTTCTCAGAAGTGGTGTCTGGCTCTCTCCTCCAATCAGGTTTTAAAATTCCACCATCCGGAGTTTGTGACATGCTCAAATTTCACCTGGAGGGTTCTGAATACAAGATGACTTTTCCTGTTGAACCTAGGTTTACTATCCCTTCAGGACAAAATCAGAATGTTAGTGTCTCTGTGATGGTTGTGCGGAAGGATTCAAACAAGGTTGCTCGCATCATAACTAAGTCCATGTTTGATTACATTGATCGGTCATCATATAGAGCCTTGGCATTTGATTACCTAGACATATCCCCTGGCCACCCTTTTGTGTCTGGCATCCGGGCATGGATCTCTTTGCTATTCATGGAAGATGGAAATGAAGATCTTATGGATGTATTTGGCATCCAAATGGATTTCTGTGATGTGGCAAATTCGAAGGATGAAGTCTTGCGACTACTGGACATGCTTGATTGGAAGTGAATGTTCAAAGTGTGATATCCAACATTACAACAGAAATTATTGGCCATTGTGATTTTATGTTAACTTGTTTTGTTGATATGGATGCATTACAACTTAACAAAATTTGTCATCGTCTTACCTGCACGAATAATTTGTATAATTGGTTGGTGTTAATATCTCGTATGTGTGGAGTATGTGAATACTTTATAATTATTGTCATCAATAAATACTTTTGTTTTTTGCAAGTTCTGATGTACATATATGTAGATCATTATATAATGATTTCTGTCGCCCACCGTGGGTACGGCTAGGGTTGGCAAAACGGGCCAACCTGGCTCGATCCGGCCCAACCCGTATTCAATCCGTAAAAATCGGGCCGGGTTAAGGTTGGCCTGAAAAAAAAACGAGCCAGAAAATCCAACCTGACTCGACCCGAGCCGGGTTAGGGTTGGCTCGATAATCAGCTCGCGGGTTGGCTCGGAAAAAAGCTCGCGAGTTGGCTCAAAAAAAGCTCGCGGGTTAGCTCGAAATGATGCCGGTGGGTTGGCTCGCGGGTTGTCCAGCTCGAAATATTCTAATGCAACTCTCAGACAAGACTTACCTCCCCTGCATTGAATATAAATCTTTGTTTATCAAAGAAAAGCAGTACTGCAGGTGAAGTATCTTGAGTAATGCTCTCACTTCTGCATGGAACTGAGATGCTCTCACTTCAGAAAAATAAATTTCAATGAGTTGATAAAACAAGCATTTGAAGGGTCTGGTCTTATCGCCATGTGACCCAGATAACATATGCTCATATACTCGATTCATACAATAAGCCTCTTACAAATTAATCACATATGCTCATATACTCGATTCATACGATTCTGGGTCAGATCCATTCAACAAAAGTTACAAAAGAACCAAAAATAACAACCAGAAGGCTTATCCAAAAAATTAATCACATTTGCAACAAATTATCCAAGATCTGGAATAAAAAAGGGAACAAAAAAATTTAACAAAATGCCAATATCAGTAAAACAATAACAATGTATTTTCACAATAACAATGAAATTAATATCAGTAAAACAAGAAGAACGGGAAAAAGACCCTAACAGTTTGTGTTGCGGAAGAGGAACGAACCCGGTGGAAGAGAGAACCCGCGATGTCGTCGCCGTCAGTGTGGGTGGGGTACCCGTGAGTTTGTGAATGTGTGATCGACTGAGCGTGACTGCGTTTTGGTTTATCAGATTCTCAGTTCGTCGTGCGTGTTTGCGTGAGGGGTGAGCGACTGAGCGTGACTGATTTGTATTGTATTTTATTTAAAAAAAAATAAGAGTAACTCGCGAGCTGGCTCGTTTGACTCGCGAGCTGGCTTGTTTGAGCCCAGGTTGGCTCGGGTCGGGCTGAATCGAGTTGGCAGCTCATTTTTGCCAACCTAATCCGGCTCGTTTTTTGCGGGTTACGAGCCAACCCGACAGATTGACTCATTTTTGCCACCCCTGGGTACGGCTACCTTTTTTAAACAAGGGTGACACTGTAGTAAGCATTAACTTTATGAGAGGTCAGTGTAATTATCTCTAAAATAATTGATGGGTTAATAGATTATATTTCTGGATCGGCATATTATGAGAAAGGTTTTGCCTTACATGATTAAAGCAGTTTAATTTGTATATGCATTTCTTTACTTCTGAGTTGCCTTAATTTCATATAATCTGCTTGGGGAAGCAATGGAGATGTCTCTTACCTTTGTCAATGGTGAAGGGCAAGATTAAGGTTAACGAACCATGTTCATGGGTGCATATCTAACCCTCGTGCAGAAATGAGGTGACTATTCTGCTAACGGAAGAGGGGTTCATGGTCACTTTTTGCTCCCTTGTATATTTAAACAACATCAAAACAGAACCTATCATCCTAAGGAAGAGAAGAAAAGGGGCAGAGTTGTAGGGTTCCACGGTATTGTCTTTGGAGTCTTTAGAGTGAGACAAGTAGCAAGCCATTTAATCTGACACGAGGTATCCAATATTTTTAATCCGTGCCCCGCTAAATGAGAAGGCTTTTGGTGTTAGGTCTAAATAAACGCTACTATGGGTTAAAAAATAATAGGCCCAAGGAGGGTTGTCACGTATTAAAAACCCTATTACATCAAAACATTTATAATCGAAGATAGTAATAAATTTTAGGGGAATTAAAATGTAATTGAAATGAATGAAAATCATTTTAGAGGAATTATATAAGATATAATTGAAATGAGGAATATAGAGTAAAATAATTAATAGGAAAACGTTTCTACTAAAACTTGAAGAGAAATTCATAGTAAAAGTTTCTTTTAAAAATTATTGAGATCAAGGATTGAAACGAGGAATTAAGAAGAAAAAAAAAAACTGTTTTCACATGAGCAATTGAAAGGAGGAATTAAGAGTACAACGTTTCTTCTAAAAATTATTTTAGCAGAAATTAAGAGATATAATTGAAAGGAGTGTAAAAAACCTTGGGATACGCTCAAAGGGTGGGAGTGCCCAAGGTCTTATAGAGGTCATATTAGTTGCTCATCCAATCAATGTGGGACTATATATCTCAACATGCCCCCTCACGCAAGTTGCACAGGCCCAAAGATATTAATATTGAAGTAGTATACTAAAGTGGGAAGGTTATACTCAAAATCAAAATCAAATCATCGACTCTCTTACTTAATGTTACTTTGTATCCATTAATTTAATTTTGATCCAATAATAATAATGTTGGTGGTAAGAGCTAGTAAGAACAAAATGATAGTAAACTCAAACGAAGGTTGCTCTCATCATAAATAATTCACATCCAGATATACATTTCGTTGGAGTTTCGATTAGTATTTTGAGAAACCTTGTGTGAGTTTATAAGTGTTAGTTTTGTGACCAAATGTTATTCTCTACTTAATTCAACAAATCTAAAAATTGTTCCTGGCCGCGTAGCTTTGACCGAATCGCCAATTGCTGGGGGCAACATTATCAAACTCCAACATTGTACGATCACTGGTTGTCACCTTAAATGACAAGGCTTGTCCCACCAAATTAGTTCCGGTAACCCAAATTTGTCCCCAACTGCGTGACATAGGAAGCCAGCCACTCTTAGACCCTTTGATACTCACACTAGAAACATCACCAGCATTGGCAACATTGTACACCAAAACTTGCAACGAGTAAGGATTTCCTTTTATCTCAAACTTGACACCCCCGATTTTAGTGCATGGAACCCGGCGATATTGAACAGGAATGATCCCTGCTTTGTAAAAAGCAATGGTGGTGAACATTTTCATGGACAAGTCAAAGTGCCTTTGTGGAGGGTTGCACCAATTGTCATTAGGCTTGGAGTAATTGGGAGGACAAAAATTTGTTGCAGTAATTTTTATTGAGCCTGCATTCTTTTTGCACCATTGGGGATCATTGACACACTTTATCTCAAAACATGCACCACATGTGACTCCTTTGTTGAATAGGGCTGTGCTTAATGCTGCGGTCGCAAGCCCATAGCCTTGCTCTAAGAGATTACCATAACCACAAGCACCCTCTGCATACCATGTATTATCACAATAACAATGAAATTAATAAAAATCACTTCTCGTTAAATCTCTACTAACAAGGATAGGATTAGAATAATTCTTATATGCAGTCTTGTTCTTGCATAATTGTAAAAGAACTGTTGACTTTTTAGTCATACAAGGAACAATTTTACCATTTACCACTCTGTGACCTTTCAATCATAAAAGAAACAATTTTACCACTGCCCCAGCTCGGTCTCTTGATAAGAGTTAAAGCAATATGACAATTTTTTATAGTGTCAACATTTTATAGTATACATGTGATTAATAATGAAAATAACTCATCTTTGATGATAATGATTCATAATATTTTTCATTTTTTTTTTTTTTTGAGTTCTATACTTACGCATGGTATCTCCACCATTCATGTCACCATAGAAGGTTGCATGCGCATCATACCAACGAGTGTCAATGCCAGCTGACACGGCTTGTACGAAGCTAGCCACCAAAAGGGCCAAAGGAACTAAATAGTGAAATTTAGCCATGAAGGTAAAAGACACAGAAATTGATGAAATCTGAGGTTAGATTTGTTGATGAAAGGTGGTATTTAACGATGTGGGAATACTATTAGTCAGGGTTTTGCAAATGTTGTGTAATTAAACGGATAGAAGGCTTTAAATGTTGTGTAAGTAACATTTCTCTTACAATAAAGAAATGTGGGCCGTTAATATGAGATAAAAAAGAGTCGAGCAAAAAAAAAATGAACGAGAGTGACAAATATTATAAGATTTGTGAAAAATTTCTATACTTAGTAAGATAACTGAAATGTTATACAAGAGTAACTTAATTGGTGCACCGTTTTTGTTATCAAGTAGTTTCTAATCCTAACATAATTGAAATTTTATCTAGGTTGAACGTTTTGCTATGTTATAAAACTCAATTCAAACATGTCAGTTAGCTCGACCGATGAATTGGTGAATCAATGAGGTAACCGATCCTAATAACATGTTAGCAAAACATTGATTTGGTCGAGCTATAGTAACCAACTGGAACATCCATTTAATTGGGAGAGCTAACTCTAGCAACATACAAGATTGCCTTCGCGTGGAGGATGCCAAAATAACAATAATATACCTCATGTTTTGAAGTTTTATCCCAGGTGTGATTGAGATAGTTTTAACTACTGAAAACTTAATTCAAGGAAAATCATGTCAATATTATTGTCTTACATTAATTAGGCTGTTATTGAAGTCATTCTTGCTATGGAGAAAATATGACATAGCTGTGTCGACAACTAAACAAACAAAACACTAGAATTGAAATGACAATATGACACTCCTAATTTTGTGACCAAATGTTATTCTCTACTAATTCAACACATCTGAAAATTGTTATTGGCTTCGTAGGTTTGTCCGAATTGCCAATTGGTAGGGGCAACATCATCAAACTCCAACATTTTACCATCACTTGTGGTCACCTTAAATGACAAGGCTTGTCCTACAATATTAGTCCCGGTAACCCAATGTTGTCCCCAATTGTGTGACATAGGAAGCCATCCAGTGTTAGACTTAGACCCTTTGATGCTCACACTAGAAACATCACCAGCATTGCCAACATTGTACACCAAAACAAGCAACCAATAAGGGTTCCCTCTGATTTCAAACTTGACACCACCATTTTTGGTGCATTGAACACGACGATATTGAACAGGGATGATCCCTGCTTTGTAAAAAGCAATGGTGGTGAACATTTTCATGGACAAGTCAAAGTGTTTTAGTGGAGGGTTGCACCAATTGCCATCAGGTTTGGAGTAATTGGGAGGACAAAAATTTGTTGCGGTAATTCTTATTGAGCCTGCATTCTTTTTGCACCATTGGGGATCATTGACACACTTTATCTCAAAACATGCACCACATGTGAGTCCATTGTTGAATAGAGCTGTGCTTAGTGCTGCAGTCTCAAGTCCATAGCCTTGCTTGAAGAGATTACCATAACCACAAGCACCCTCTGCAAATACCATATATTTTCAAAATAACAATGAAATTAATATGGCTTTTGTTTTTATGTAATCAAAATTTAATAGTATGCATATGATTAGTCATCAAAATAACTCATATTTGATTACAATGATCATGATTTTCTTTACAAAAGAAAAAAGGGGGATTCTATACTCACGCATTGTATCTCCACCCTTCATGTCACCATAGAAGGTTGCATGAGCATCATACCAATTACTGTCAGTGCCAGCTGACATTGCTTGTACGAAGAAAGCCACGAAAAAGGCCAAAGGAACCAAACAGTGAGACTTAGCCATGACTAAGGTTAAAGACACAGAAAAGTGTTATTTAATGATGGGGGAGTACTACTAGTTAAGGCTATGCTTCTCGTCATTCAGGAAATCAAAAGAAGCATGACAAGATTTGATTATTATTTGTTTTTGGTAAAAAAAATATTTGATTCTTCATAGCTGATATATGATACCATATTAAGGTTAAATCATTTTTTTTTTTTTGCTATAAATAGTTCATGCATGAAACCTTTCAAGCTGAAATCCACTTTATCAGCTGAATTAGTTGGTACCTTAAAGGTTACTGCACAACTATCTTAATAGCCGAAAACGAGTACCTAAAGCTGATACATGATTCCAAATTAAGGCTATACCACAATTTTTATTTTTGTTCTATAAATAGTTGATTCTTGAAGCCTTTCAAGCTGAAACTTTAATCGTTAGAGCTGGCTGGCACCTTCAAGGTTGGCATAGCTCTGTTTGATTCTGTTTCCTTAAAAAATCATATATATGATTCGGATGGAAATCTTATAGAATTCAAAATTCATGAATAAGAAGTTGAGTGTGAAAAGATATGTCTTTTCATTGTCGAATAGACATAACAATTCACAGGTAAACAAACATGATTTTTCATGGCCGAACAAACAGAACTCTTGGTGAATAGACATGACTTTTCACGGCTGAACAGACATGACTCTTAGGTGAATAGACATGACATCATGACATGACTTTTTACCGTCAATAGGCATCATTCATCATGATCAGTCATAGTTTATAAATATGGAAGAAAATCGAAAAAAATAATGGACATTTCCGATTTCTCTCCTATACCGTAACTTTGTCAAAAAAAAAAATTCAATTGCATTTTGCATTTGCATTCTTCTACTCTAGTGCGATTGGTCAGGCATAGGTTGAGTTCGATAGGCCTATTCTATGTGGAAGTGTTGCCACGAGAATAGAGGTAATTCGTTCTATCCTAGGAGACATTTGTCTGCGAATCTTAGGCACTATAAAGAGGGCAAAATTGTCTTAGGGCCTGTTTGGTGTGACGTATATGGCATGATAGTATAAACTTATACTATACGTTATGACATTTTCAGTTGTTTGGTGTGACCATCGTATAGTATAAGCTTATACAACATAATCCCTTAATACATCAAAACGATGTATAACTTAATCCAGCCTAAGGGTGATGGATAAGGCCTGATAAGAGATTGATGTATTAACATCGTTGACCAATGTAATTCTCAAAAAATTAATATATTATTTTAATATTAATCTATTAAAATAAAAATTAATTTTTCAATATATTAATTTTTAAAATATTGAATATTTTTATTTTTATAAAAATTAATTTATATTTTGGACACACTTGATCAATAAATTTTTATAAAAATTAATATCATATGACATTTTTTGAAGAATTATATAAATTCTTTATTAAATGATATTTTTATTAAAAATTTATTTTTATCCTATATAGTATTATACAGTGCATTATCAAATATTGGATGATATTATCTTATACAATATATTATTTTATACAATACCATGTCAAACGCTGGATAGTATTAAAATTCAATCAGGTCTTATACTATCAGGCTTTATCCTATACTATGCACCAAACATGCCCTTAAGGACACAGTGTCTAACACTGGGCTTGGATTTTTTTCTTATCACATTCATATATTTTCATACAGTATGCTTTAATTTTGTGTTATTGCATGTTACAATTTTTTGTGGATATTTCATGAAACTTCGAATATGGTAGAAGTGATTTTTCTAACACGAATTATTTTATTTCAATGATTTTATCATCATTTTTTTTTCTAACAAAGACTAACTTCAGAAACAATGTATTGGGTACGTTAAAGAAAAGCAACTTATAAAACCGGTCTCATTATTCACTAAGGAGGATTATAAGCCAATAAAAATCAAACGTTTTTAAGTGTTGGATATATATATAAAAAAATCAGAAAAATATTTTCTGCCACAGACACAAGTATTTGAGAGAGAGAAGTCTGTGGCCGAAATTATTTTTCTGCCACAATGCTAAATGATTTGTCGTATATATATATATAGAGGAAGGATATTCTTACTACCAAATTTTTTTACTACTAACTTACTACATATTTAATCACCATTGAATCAAAGAGAGAGAATGTTAAAAAGTTTTTGAAAAAAGAGAAAATGTTGATCCAATGGTTATTAGATAGGTAGTGAGTTGGTAGTAGAAGATTTTGGTAGTAAGAATATCCCTCCTCATATATATATATGAATTTGTTTTTTCTGCAGTCAATGTAATACAGTAAGTTCAAAACGACGTCGTTTTGAGGCGAAAATCAAGGTATTTTGTAATTATAATTTATTTCAGGATTATAATAGTCTTTCTCATTATAATTTTTTAATCTTTCAACCAAAACGACGTTGTTTTGGGAGCGAACGTAGATAACTTATTTACATTCACTGTAGAAACATTAAAGCGTGTATATATATAGAGAGAGAAGTAGGATCCTTTGACACTAGTGTCAACTTTGAAGTTTGACACCTCATCTGAGAGCCGTTAGATTAAAAAAGATCAATGATATCACATGCTTACAAATCAGAGTCGTTGATCTTTTTTGATCTAACGACTCCCAGATGAGGTTTCAAATTTGATATTTGACACTGGTGTCAAAGGATCCCCTTATATATATATATATATATATATATATATATATATATATATATATATATATATGGGATAGGATCAACTTACACCGGTGTAAGAATAATAAATCTTACACCAAATCTTAACCGTTGATTTCCGTGCATCCAATGGTTAAGATTTATTGGGAATTAAAAATTAATTAATGAGTGAGACCTAATAAATCTTAACCGTTACATGTAGAAAATCAATGATTAAGATTTGGTGTAAGATTTATTATTCTTACACCGGTGTAAGATGATCCTGCCCTTATATATATATATATATATATATATATATATATATATATATATATATATAGGTTAACATTTTTTTAGCCACTTGAGATATGGGTTAACATTTCTTTAGCCACTTGAGATAAGTTTATCTCCAACCATTTTTTTTTTTTTTTGGTATCTATATCTCGAGGCTCCCGCCACTCTTTTAAACTATGTATTCCCCAAAAAATACGTAGTTATAACATTAAATTTTTTTTTTCTCCTTCCTCAATCACTTTTCGGAACACGATAACGGAGAGAGAGAAAAAAAAGTAACTAATGTTATAATATATATTTCCTGGAATACATAATTAAAAAATGGTGGTTGGAGCTTATCTCAAGTGGTTGGAGAAATATTTTTCCCATATAAGACAAGATTATTTTACATTGGTGTAAATTATATTTTTATTTTTGGCAATTGATCTCACTTGTATAAAATGCTCTAATTTATTAGTTATATGAGCTATTGAATATAAGTAGAACAATAATTAAGAAAAAGTATAAGACTTTTTATTTTTAGTATAAAGGGATTAATATTTTTCTTGTAACAGAAGATAAAATTATCTTTTGCAACCTCAAGATAACGTCGTTTTGAAGTTTGAGAAAAAATATAATATATTTTAGTAAAATTCATGATACTAGAAAAAAATAAAATTTTTAAAATACCCCCTCTCTTTTTTCCTAACCCGAAAATGACTTTATTTTGAGATTTTGCTAGATATAACTTTTATCTTCAGCTGCATCAGAAAATACTGTTTCGAAATGGAGTTTGCAGTAGACTCTAATAATTTAGTCATATTCCGGTCTGAAAAGGATGTCAACAAACTGTTCTAGTCATATTACGGTCTAAAAAGGATTTCAACAAACTGAACGAATACGATAGATGCCAGTCACAGTATCATCAACAAAATATAAATAGTTATATTTCATTTTTTGGGTAGAAAATATTTTGTTATATACTTATATTCTGAGTGTGGAGTAATGGAACCCCCTTTTATTGGAAAGTTAATAGAATTCTTTGGTCCATGGAGATTGGATCAGGTTGTGCCAAGTTTAAGATGGCTAAAGCAGCTTGGGATTTTGTCCTTCATAAAAGCTTGAAAATATTTCTCATCAAAGCACATGTTTCACCATAATCAAGAATTCTACATAATAAAGCCAAATGAATAAGGAAAGCATATGAGATAAATGAGACTGCAATTTAAGCATAAGAAGTTAAGAACACACGAGTGTTAGGACGAAAAGGATCAAAACATTATTTGACAGAAAGTCGTGAATGCTGGATAAAATGAAAATATCAATTAACACAATACAAAAGCAGGGGATTCAAATTGGTATGCGAGGGTGCTGAGGAGTGAAGATATACGAGTCACCTGACCCTTTATTTCAGTGTATGACCTTAAAAGGAGGAAATGAACTCATCCCATGTTCTTGTATATCACTGAGGACACGGAAAGATTCTATTAATTTATCAAATTGTGGTAGCTTAGTTGATAACAAAGGAGATGCATACATGAAAAGAAAAGAACTTTGGTTTGATCCTCACATATCACCTTTGGAAGAAGTTATCTTCATCTTTGACCCGCCCCGCACTCCGGATTAGTCTCGCAGCCGACTCAAAGAGTCGAAGTTTGTGAGAATATCGAAAAGAGCCAACTAGCCTCAGAGATAATTAGAGTTGGATTAACTCAAAAAAAAAAAAGATTGTTTTAATTTTAACACATCTTTAACCCCAACATAAACATGCCATAACAAATGTTTGTAAAACCAGCCAGCAGGTTCATACACGAATGAGGAACCGTTCAGAAACCAAAAGCACAAAACTTTTAGACTACAAATACTAATACTGTTAAAATTACAAATTCCAATGTTCCTTCAGACATGCTGGGGCTTTTATGTCTAAAATGTCTCTTAAACAAATAGAGAAGAAGGATTTAATAGAATGGGACAAACATTATGGCACAAGAACTTTCTGAATGATGAAAATCTTGTGCCATTATCACAATCTTGTGACATGGGAAGTTTCCATCAACTTCAAAGGTCCCTGCCGGTACTCATGGTACAATTACAAAAAGAGGCTGCATTGAGCACAAGTATTTCAGTCAGAGAAATGATGAAAGAGAAAATATATATATATATATATATATATATATATATATATATACATAGAGAGAGAGAGAGAGAGAGAGAGAGAGAGAGAGAGTACCATGTCCACACTGACTGATTTCCCATCCTCTACTAGTATCTCAGCTACTGTTCCTGACTGATCAGCCTGGGAAGCAATGAAAGAGAACCAAGTAATTAAGTTTTTTTAATTAGCTACATAAAAAACTAGAGCTAATGAAGCAGAATGAGATGGAAATACGAAAGTAAGAAACAGAAACAGGGTGCGCTGTGCATACAGCTTTTATAAGTCTGTAATTTTGGGTTTGCTATACTGAGAGAACCTTTTATATGAATTTACGATATTCACTATATGGGAGACTATAAGCTAAATAATAATGGGACAAATCTCCAGAATAGAGAGGAAAGCAAAACGAGAGAGTAATATATTAGTAAAGGGGGAAAGATAAGCAGGATAATATACAAAACTAGCACAAAAAGGACAATACACATACCTCAATTTCATTCATCAGTTTCATAGCCTCAATAATGCAAATAACCTGCCCTTTCTGCACTTTATCTCCCACCTAAACAGCAACAAAAAAATGAGGTTATCCACTATTTTATTAAGCAAACAAGGTAATATTTAGTTTTAAATACCCAACAGCACAATTTGTAAATTGACACGTAAAAAGAAGTTTACTACTTTAATCACGTGTGCTTATACAGTAACGGTGATACATACCTTTACAAATGGTGGTTCACCAGGTCCTGGACACCGATAGAAGGTTCCTGCCATTGGACATTTCAGTGGTGGATGAGACGATGCGCTGGTTTTTCCAGGTGAAGGTAAGGCAAGAGCTGCTTTTGAAGGTGGAGGACTTGCAGGAGCAGAACTAGCAACTGGTGGTGGTGGTGGTGCAGGCAGATAAGGATGTGCAGGATAGGGATATGGTTGAGAAAGTGGAGCTGGTGGAGGCTGCAAAGCTTCCTTTTTTCTTATCATGAGCTCATAGTCTGCTTGCTTAAGATGCAGCTCCATAATATCTCTAGAATCCACAAGTCTGCCCATGGAAATAATATTAATATAATATATAGAAATGTTTCATATCCTAATATTGATAGAAAAATAAAAAGTAAACATGCAACTGTATGCAGAGTGCAGCAGCTTAGTCTTACTTAACAAGTTCTGAAACTTGATTCATAAATGTAGAAATTGAAGATGCATCTGTAGAAGTGCTTGGACCAGAGGGTTTTCCATTTTGGTCATCTCTCTCTTTTGGTGAAGGAGCTTTAACCAGCACCGGGGCAGAATTTGAAGAACTTTCAACAGTGGCAGCCTATGAATACAGAGCAGAGTAATGTGAGGTTATTGTTAATTCAATCTTCTGAAGAACTAATTTGCAGAGCAGGATTAGCATACTCTGATGACAATTTTTGTTCAGAGTATAACTCAAAGCAAACTGACCTCATTAGGTTGTGCTTTCCAGACAGAAAATTGCTTCCTGTTAAGGCACTGCATGACACAACAATAACAATGGAACATATAAATAATCAGGAAGAAAAATATAACTGCAACGCCTCTGACACAAGCTTATTATTAGTATCCAGTGAATTGGAATAACATTCACAAACTGAAATGTTTTAATGGATAAATTATGGATTTCCAAGTTTTGAGTTCATTAGAAACCAACTGCAAAACTACAACTGTAGTAACCCACATGTTTGTCAGTTGCTCCCGTGGTAACAGATACATCAAATACAATGAAAATAATGCACTTCCGGTTATAAAATGCTGAAAAATTGTGTAGTTCCCATGGAAGGACATTAAATATATAGTAAATTATCATGAGCATTATTTAAGCATAAAAATTACTAGGAATTCTAAATCATAAAGCAGCATATTAGAAATGTAAAACCAATACCAAGCTTCATGATATATATGCTCTCATATTACCGCAAATGTAGTCTTAATAACTGTTACCAAAAACATGGATCACCCATAGCAGAATTGCATATGTTGCTATGATTCTCTTCATCTATAGTTCCATATGAAAAACAAGGACTTTTATGCTCCAAACTGCTAGATTCAATATTCTTATTCCTTCATGAACATTCAGAAACCCCAAAGAAAAGGATCCCATAGAATATGTTAATTGTAACAGATCTTTCTTTATTACTTTAAAAAAAAAAATCAATTGATCAAGCACTTAGCTTCAGACGTTTTAAATAAAACAAGATATATAAACTTATTATTTCTCCACTCCGCAAGAAGTACTATAGTAGTCGAGGTATGAAATAATACGTTTCTACAGATCAAAGTATGAGTCAACTGTAAACTGTGATATGTTGAAGAAAGCTTGAAATTAAATAAGACTTCAAGGAACAAAAGGTTTCCTTTTGTTTTGCATGATGCTCCAAGTCCAAAGGCACTCAACACAGTAAAGACAGTGGTGGGGATTTGCTTAAAGGTCTTTTCATAATTTTTGTTTTGCATGATGCTCTAAGTCCAAAGACACTCAACACAGTAAAGGCAGTGGTGGGGATTTGCTTATCACTAATTTATGCTGAAAATAATAGAACAGTTAAAATGAAAGCATAGACAATAACTTTACAACTGACACGCTAAAACAAGAAATAAGAGCAACCCCTTCACCTTTTTCATCATATAATTAATATCTCAAACACAATTCATATAAGCAAACAAACAAAACAATCAAATCACATACAGTGACATCATCACTAAACGGGGTATTCTTAATTCAAACTTCAAGCCCAGATTCGAATTTAAAAAATAAAATAAAAAAAATCAAACACCTGAATCCCAGTTGGTGCTGAATCACAACTCAAAGATCCAAATGAAAGGGACTTCTTCAACCCCAACCTGCTCTGACACGAGACGGTATGCATGTTCTGTTGCAGGGTTTGAGAATTTAATCCCAAATGAGCAAAAGAAAGGCACTTGGGGCAAGGGATCGTGAAAGACGCCATTTGGAACAAACCCCACGAATCAAAAACGGATTTTTCCTGTTTAAGAGCTCAAATGGCACAGTGATCTACACAAAATGATGGAAATGGCGAAGTGGGTCGGTGAGAATATAAGGGGTTTTGGTGGCGATGAGATCGAAGAGAGTGTGGGGAATGACGTGAAAAGGGAAAAGCGGAACACAGCAATGGTTGATGGAGACAAGGAAGGAAGGAAGAACAGTGCGATTTTTACACTGTGGCTTCGATGATAACAACGAGAACATCAACGTCACATTTTCAACCAACTAAGAACAATAAATTTTGGATCACTGTTTTTGCATTTGTTGTTGTTATTGTTTCCTAACATAACACAAAATGCTTAACTACACACGCTTCTTCTATGATTTTTTTATTTCTATTTTTTTTTTTAAATTTTTGAAAGAAAAATATTAAAACAGAAGGAAAGTTATATTTATAAATTTTTATAAATTATATTCCGTCTGATCAATAATACTTTAATTAAAAATGTATCAGAATTAGTGTAATTTATAAAAATAAAATTGTAAACCGATCTTTTCCCTGAAACATGTATCCGTCTTAAAATTAATTTATAAATTGAATCCATCATCTTAAGTGTTGAATTCCATTTAATTAAACTTATAATCATACAATAGATTTATTATTCCATATAAACTAAAAATTATGTTCAATATAAGTATTAAATTAACAAAATGTAATTGATTTTATAAATTACTAAATTAAGACATATTATTTAAATAAATATATTGGGTAATGTAAGATGGGTTAACATCAAATCGGCACCTGCTTTGCCAAATTTTGATAGAAAGTTATATTATATGATTAGGCTATCGTTTTTATATTTCTCTATATGTTCTTCTGTCTCTGACTCATGAAACTTTGTGCCATTATTTTTTTTTTTTTCTTTTTTGAAAAAGAATGTGGGCTCCATATCTTTTCTATAAAAGGAGAAATTCTTAACCCGTGGCTATTCTCAGAAGTTATTGAAATACCTCTAGGTCAAATACTTTTTTTTTCGAGGGCTTAAATATTTATTTTCCTTTTTTCAAGCTATAAAATTTACGGTGAGTAGAGATTTAATGCATATTTTCATTTATAAAAAAAATTGTAGATAAGGAAAAAAAATTGTTTTCAAATAGAGAGTTTGAGTCACTTCTTATTTATTAAATATCAAATTTATTCAAATAACAATAACTTGATAAGAATGCGCAAGTATGTGAAAATTATAAATTTATTTAATTAAATATATCTGAGTATGTGAAAGCAATTAATGATAAATAAATTTCGGAATTAATGTTTATTTTTTAAAAGATATAAAATTGTGTTATTTTAATTAAAATTATTATTTTTGTGGTGAGAGAAACAGTTGCATAATAAAAATTATAATGGAAGACAATAAGAGATCTTTTTAATTTATATATTAAATAATAAATAATATTTTTAACTAAAATAACTATACTTTAAAATGACAAATATTTTTACTATAAATTTAACATTTTTGATCATTGGGTGCGTGTGTAGAATTGTATTTAGGTTTATTGAGGCATAATATAAATAGACTACCATAACATTTGAGTTACATACAACTTTTTTGTGCTCTTCGCTATGATTAGGATAATAAATTTTAAAATATTCATAGATGGAATAAGCAAACTTTATTATAGGACACATTACACACTGTATTTTATATTGTTTTGCGTGTAACAGAAAGAATTGAATTGGGTTTAAACTAACTCTATTTTGACAAATAAGTTAATTTTGTGGACTGAATCATGTTTAACCATGTTCCGACTATTGATCGGACTGAAATCGGGTTAACATGATATTTTGACAAAATGTACAGAATTAAATATTATGTGTAATTTGTTATGAAATTTTAAAGCTATAAAACTAAAATCAAGTGATGCTTTATAATATATATTATAAAATAAATTATATCAATGTAAATATATTATAAGTTTTAAAATGATATGAAATATTAGATGGGGTTTGCATCTATCATGCCACATGACACAAAAAAGTTTTTTACACACACGACATTTTGAGGAGCCCGCATTTTTTGAAGCAAAAAAAAAACTTAGGCACGCAAAACGAATCTTTATAACATTACACAATTATTTTTCCTATAACATAACTCTTATAAAACCCATATTAGATATGTCAAAATCCGAAATATAAGCTAAAAATGTGTTTTAAAAAACAGTTTATAAGAATCGATAAATTAAGAAAGGAAATGGGTCTTAAAATTTTAAGTCATAATGTGGACTTAATACACATTAGATGAGAGTCTAATGCAATTCTGTTTTGATTTCTTTTTGAGGTTATACTTACAAATATTTTCTTTATTATTAAATCAAAATCAGATAACGGATCTTATATAATATTATGGGCAAAAGATTTCTCCAAGTCAATGAAAATAAGTTATCTCCAGTGAGCTCAAAATGAGGTCGTTTTAGGGTAAAAATTAATATGTTTTTGTAATTCTAATATATTGCAGGGTTATATTAGTCTTTATCATTATAATTGTTTAATCTTAAATCTCAAAATGACGTCGTTTTGAACTCACTGGAGATAACTTTATATCCAGGGAGAAATACTTTTCCCTAATATTATTTAAGAATCCATGAATTGTTTTTGATTCAACGATAAAAAAAATATTTATAAGAAAAATAAGTTGTAAGTATAACATTTACCTAAATATATGATATAAACAAATAAAAATATATCTTATAACATTATTTAAAATTATTTTTAAGTTATTTTTTATTCTTTTCACTTATGTATACATAAGTTTCTATTAAAAATTATTAAAAAAAAATATCTAAAATGCAAAAAATAACTTATAGAATTTTTCAAAATAAAATTATGCCTTTTATTAGGAGGATTTTTAAAAATAAATTTTAAGTTGATTGTCAATATTTATGTAATATAAAAAAAACAAATAATATTGGCAAAATTAATAATAATTCAATGTCACATACAACGTGAAATAATTCAATTTGGATTATAATGCATTGATTTATTTAGTGATTAGAAATAATTATTAACCATTTTAAGCGCATTATGCTCAATATATAAATAAAATTAGAAACATTACCCTCAATATTTAAATAAAATCAGAGATTTGTTGCTCAAGGAATGTAAATGAATTTTTATATTGTTTATTTTTATTTTACAATTCATAAATTTATACTAATCAATGCATTGAGAATATAGAAGATAAATTTTTGTTTTGTTTTACAGTTTTATTAGGGTATTTTTTACATTTCAATTACAATTAAGTATTGTATTTATTAAGGATAATTTTGATATTTCATATAATGAGAACATTTTTACCATTTAGGGAGCTAAATGATAAACAATAAATTTGAAATCACGTGGAGCTAAATTATAATAATTATAACCATCGTGAGTGAAATTGAAGATTTCCTCCAATTTTTTTTATTAGGTACCATCAAATGATCGTTAACCATGACGTCAAAAAAAGAAAAAATGATTGCCAATATCATTGTCATAACCAAATAACTAAAGTAAAAAAAATAAAAACAAAATTTCAAAGTCATTGCATTGCTATAAACAAATTTCATCAAACCAAATAATTAAAAGAATGAATTCATGTTCAATAAAATAGATAATCTCCATAAAAATTGTTATATCAATGACTTCACATATGCAAGCCGAGTCGCCTCATTGGAACCCCAAAATATATGAATTCGATGGGGCACTGAGAGTATCTTTTCTGCTGCAGCAAAGTACTCTTCATAGGTTAAATCCATTTTCTTATAAGTTCATCCATGATCCTACAAGAATCATCAAATACATCTTTATCAACTCCAAGATGATCTACTAATTTATCCAGTTGCTCTGACATTTTCTCTAGCCATTGCCCCAATTCAGATATGTTATTAGCAAGCAAGCATATACGCTTCTCTAGAAGCTTCATCCTCCTCGTTGGACCATTGCCTACGATGTCTCTTTTTCATACCACTTCGTCGCATGTTATTCCTACGATGTTATCTCTTTTCAATACCACTTTGTTGCATGTTATTCCTACATTCCATTCCTATTTCATTATCAAATTATATATTATAAATTTCATACATAAGAAAATTAAGAATATAACCAATAAATAATGACTTCATTGACCAAATTAATAGTTCAAATCACAAAATATAATGGAACAAATACAAACATATAGATGTTCCAAATCCTTATAAAAAATAAATAAACAAAACAAACAGAATAGAATAGAAAATTACAAATAGAGCCAGTAATACAATAATCGGATTATGTGTCTCTTAAGAAACCATTCATTTCTCAAAAAATTTTGTCGTTTAGTATACCACTCATCACTAGCCTCAATTGTATTCCTATAATCACAATCACCATGTGCTACATCCTCATATTTTTGTTTCCAAAATGAGTCAATCGGCATAGTAGGAGCTTTAATAGCAACAAGACGCCCTTCTATCTTTCTATTGGACTAGCATAAATTTAGGAAGATTCATTTGATAAAACAAAATTATGATTTGATCCAATTCTGCAAATTGATTAATTGATTACAACCTGACAAATTCTGATCACGCAAGCTTTCATTAAAAGGGAGTTTTCCAGTATAAAGCTCTCAATATGTGCGGGGTCCAATGAAGGACAAGACCTATCATATTAATATAGAGGATTATATTTACAAATTGTTTGTTTATAAACTACATTAATTTACTCTTAGAAATACATTAGGTTACACTATGTACTTTCAGGAGTACATAATGTAATTTGCAAAAATTTATAAAAAAAAAATTTGTAAACGAAACTTTCCCCATCTATTAGCTAACCTTGCATGGTGTGACCTACAGGTCACAAGCCAACGACTCTAACCATTACCCTACTCTTGATCTAGAAGCCACTTGGCTACATACACCAGCAGTTAGTTAATTTTTTCCTTATTGCACTCTTTTGTTTTCCATTATGTTTCTGTTATAACAAACCCCATGAGTAAATTTAGGCATACTTGTTAATTTCGGATAGTGGCGCGTAGCGGCTTACCCTCCAAACTGCTATAGCTCTATAACGGGTAGCACTACAGCGTTACTGTGCAAAGTGTACCTAAGTGATACACTAAATTGTACTCCACAAATATAAAACTTAAAATGTGAAAATGTGATATAAAAAAACAAATTTGAAGGATCTCAAACTCAAACATAAATGATTTCAAACATTAAATTCATATCATAAGCACATTGAAGGAATTAAAGTCTCAAATAATGTAACACAACAAAATAAAGTGG